CCTTATAATTCTGAGATTCACAGTTAGGTCTTCAATCCATGCTGAGTTGGTTTTTTATATGGCATGATGTAAAGGTCATGTTTAGATTTTTTGCATATCGATTTCCATTTCTGCCAGCAGCATCTGTTGAAGCGATTATCTCTTCCCCGTGTAATGTAATTAGGCCCTTTGTCAAAGATCAAAGGTTGGCTGTATGTGGATGGGTTAATTTCTGGATTCTCGATTCTGTTCCATTAATCTATGTAGCTTTCATTGTACCGGTACTAGCCTGTTTTGACCACTGTAGCCATGTAGTAGATTTTGAAATCATGGAGTGAGAGGCTTCCAACTTTGTTCTTTTTAAGCAGTGCTTTACTTAGCCTGGGTCTCTTTCCTTTCCATAAAAAGTTTATAATTGTTTTTTCTATCTCTTTGAAGACTGTCATTGGACTCTGGATTGGGATTGCATTACATTTGTAGATTGCTTTGGGTAGTATTGACATTTTCACAATATTAAGTCTTCCTATCCAGGAGCATAAGGAGCTCTGGTAGCGTAGCGGTTACGAATTGAGCTGAGAACCGCAAGGTCAGCAGTTCGAAACTAGCAGATGTTCCGTGGGAGAAAGATGAGACTTTCTGCTCCTGTAAAGATTTACAGCCTCAGAAACCCTGTACAGGGTCGCTATGGGTCAGAACTGACTCCACGGCACATAACAACAATCCAGGAGCATAGTATATGCTTCCATTTTTGTAAGTCTCCTTTGATTTCTTGTAGTACTGCTTTGCAGTTTTATTTCTCTGGTTACATTTATACCTAAATAGTTCATCCTTTTGGGCTGTTATTGTAAATGGTATTACTTTACAAATTTCATTTTCAACGCTGCCATTATTAGTATGTTGTGAAGTATTAATTTTCTTTGAGGTTACCCTATAATCTACCCTATAATCTATTAGCTTTTTCCTTCACTTAAGACAGTCTATTTTATCCTGCAATCTACCTGACCTCCTCACCACCTGGATCTCTGTTCCTATATTTTTCCTTTCTTTGGCATTATTACTTTGATCTTTAACTGACTTCCCAGGTTCTCTGAATTCATTTTGATTTTTTTCTGTTCTGGACTCTTCTTTTGACTGAGTTCCAGGTGGTTTTGCCACATCTGCCAATTTCTGGTTGTTGTATGTTCTTGTCTGTTCTTACTGGTTTTCAGCCCAAAGAACTCCCTTTAGGATGATTTGAAGTGCTGGGTTGGCTTCAACAAAGTCTCTTAGCTTCTGTTTATCCTGGAATGTTTTCACTGCACCATCATATTTTACTGACAGCTTTGCTGGGTAGGCGATTCTTAGTTGGCTGTTTTTTTTTTTTTTCTTTTAGGGTTTATTTAGTATGTCTCCCCATTGCATTCTTGCCTGCATGATTTTTGCTGAGAAATCCAAAGTTAATCTGATTTGCTTCCCTTTGTAACTAACACTTCTCTGTTCCCTAGTGGTTTTTAGGATTCTCTCCTTGTCATTGATTTTGCAGAGCTTGATTATGATTATGCCTTGGTGATTATTCTTTTGGGGTCTATCCTTCCTGGGGTTTGGTCAGCTTCTTGAATGCTTATCTTCTCATCCTTCAAGATATTAGAGTAATTTTCTTCCAGAAGCTCCTCAACTATCTCCTCTGTGAACTTCTGTGATTCTTCCTGTTCTGGAATGCCAATAATTCTTAAGTTATTCCTCTTCATGTTGTCCAACATGAATCTTAGACTCTCTTCAGATTTTTTAAATCCTTTTTTCTGCTTGCTCTTCTATTTTAGCAGTATTGAGAGATTTGCCTTCTAGGTTCACTGGCTCTGGCTTCCATCTCTTCCATTATACTCCTTTGCCCTTTCAGTGTATTGTCCTTTTCTGATATTTTATTATTAATTATTTGGACTTATTTTTGCAGGTTTTGAATTGTTTCCAATGCTGTATCTATCTTAATTGATTGCTCATGTGGTATTTTCCTGACTACTTCCTTATTTTCCTCCATCTCTCTTTAGAATCTTTGGGTGTGCCTCAGTATCATTCTTCTGAATTCCTTCTCTAGGAAGTTCCAAATCCTGCTCTCCTTTTAGTGTGAAGTCTATGCCTACCTTCAGCTCATTTGTCTCAGATACTCTTTTCTGTTTCTAGACATGTGTTGAGATCTTTTGTTGTTTCGTGTACATTTTCAATAGTTAGATGTGTTATCAATGATTAAATGAATGTGTGTTGCTGTATTATGAAACTTACTGAGTGACTCCCGGTGGATGTGATCTGGAGATAGGCTTCCCTTTTCATATCTCTTATTACTCAACTGTGAGCAATCTTAGCAAGTATTGGTTATCTATGTAATGTGTAGCAGTTTGTATTGGCTCACGTCCAGATGGTGGGCTATTATAGGGTATGCTTGTAGCTTGGCTATATGGCCATGATTACTGTCTCTTCTTGGTAATGTAGGGTGAGAAAGCTCCCACCCCCAGGAAAAAAGTAGGCTAAAAAGACAAAACACAGAAACAAAAGTAAAAGCAAACCCAAACAAACAAACAAACAAAAAGCGTAGCTAACTAGTCCAGTAGCCTTTGCTATGCATGGCAGTGTGCAGGCACAGTAGAAACCTCCAGGGGTGGGTAGGGTGTCCACTCGCTCAGGCCTCCCCTCTAGTCATTACCACGGAGGTGCGCAGAGATGGAGAAATGAATGGAAAAAAGATTGTTCACATTTTTATCTCTGAAGATCAGTTAGGGATCTGCGTATGCATAGCATACTTCTCAAAATGACTGTGCCCTTGTATATAGTAGGTGGTATTGGCTCTTGCCTTTATGTTGGGGTTTTACAGGGTGCACACATGGCTTGGCTATATGACCAGACCTGCTGTCCCTTGTTAGATAAGCCATAAATAAAAGTTCCCACCTGAGTAGGAGAGCCAGCTTCAGGGCTAAATCCCAAATTCAGACGTCATAAGAACCCACTGGAGGATTAGCCTCTGAAGTCAACTGTGGCTTTCAGCTACTTCCTCTTTGTCCCATAGGCAAATTGTACCCTGTGGGTGCAATGCTAGACCCTTTTGGGGTGTGCTCCCACCCACATGAAGACACATAGGCTAGGCAGAGAAGGTGTGACAGGGGAAAACAGAAGAGAGAAAGAAAAAGAAGTCACACTGCTTTTTCTACAAGTTGCTGGGTTCTTTTTGCACTGTAGCAGGCTGGCTGTGGCCCCAGCCTCTGACCTCCACTAAGACTGTGGGCCCAAGGCAGCATCCCAATTGATTCAGAAATTGCCACGTTTCTTCTCACCCCAGTTATACTTCTCTACTGGTGGGCACCCCAAACTATTTGCCCTTACTTTATATTAAATTTAAACCTCTGGGAGTGTCCTGGAAAAGTGTTTATTTCCATGCCTCCACCAAAGACACCCTGCTGAGTGCCTCCGCACATCTCTCCTGCAGAGCAGCTAGTGGGTTTAAAGCACTGACCTTGAGATCAGCAGCTCAAAGCAAAGCCACCTGTGTGGTACTGTAGGATAAGCACTGGACAGATGTAGAAGGACTGTGGTCTCACTCCATAACAGAAAAGCATTATAACTCACCATCAAGAAAAAGTTCCATGGCTTGGGCAAACCATACTCTCCAGGAAAAACAGCTTCTATATACCAGGTCACAAGACCATACAAGAACGCATCAAATAAAAGCATTCCCAGTATATAGGCAAAGGCAAAATTATCCAGTTTTGTTGACGACAAAATGTTACTCCACTTAATTCCAGTATCTAAAACACAACAGGAGACATTTGATATAGGTTTCAACTGACACTAAAACAGTTAGACAGAGAAGATGGGGGGTTGGGGGGGAGGAGGGGGGATGCGGGGAGAAAGGCATCTAGGGATACCTATTGTGAACAAATATTTTCTTATACTCTTAGAATTTAGGTTGCCCAGGAGGACAACTGAGTATGTATTCATGAAAGGTATTCTCTTCTATAATTCCACACAAAATACAATTGTTAATGATTGAAAAAGCAATACAACATACCAGAATGTCAGGGAAATAGCTTTAAGAACAATAAAGAGACCTAGAGATTTAAAACACAGTCCTTCTCATGCTAGCTAAATGTTTACTGGAATATTTAATTTGGGAAAATATTTATAATCATTGAGAAGTAGAAATGGGTGGGAACACAGAACAAAAGACCATGAGGATCTATCATAGATAATGCATGGATAAAAAGGGAAGAAGGAAATTACAAAAACAGACCCAGGGTTGATTCCTCCACCCCTTAACTAGACAGAGGGCAACAATTCTGACAAAGGAGCATGATGAGACCCTAACAGTTTTACAGTAAAATTTTAAGGTAATGTGAAAACAACCACACTACAGAGGGTATTTTATAACAGCCTAATTTTCGGAGGGAAGTTTAATAATATTAAAATGTGAACACCCTATAAAATTGCTAATATATACAAGGATTAATCAAAGTTATTGCTACAAAATCACAGAAACCTTTAATAAATTAAAACTTCAAGCCTCACTGAAGGAGCTCTGGTAGCGTAGTGATTACGAATCAGGCTGCAAACCTTAAGGTCAGCAGTTTGAAACTACCAGCTGTTCATGGGAGAAAGATGAGGCTTTCTGCTCCTATAAAGAATTACAGCCTTGGAAACTCTATACAGGGTCGCTATGAGTCAGAACTGACTCCATGGCACATAACCACCAACCGCCATGGGCAAAATACTGAAAGATGCAGAAAGCATCAAAAGAAGATGAAAGGTATACATAGAATAACTGTACAAAATAAAAATGGTTGACATTCAGTCATTTTATGAGGTAGTCCTGGTGTGGTACTGCAGGATAATACACTGGACTGCAAAGTTGGTTTGAATCACAAGCTTGGCAGTTCAAAGTCACCAGCTGCTCCTCGGAAATCCTATGCAGGGTCACTATGAGTTGGAACTGTCTCAACGGCATTTTACAACAGCAACATATGATCAAGAACTGACGGCACTGAAGGAGTAGTCAAAGCCAAGCTGACGGCAATGATGAGAAACAAGGCTCCGGGCATTGATGGGACACAAACTGAAATCACTCAACACACTAAGGCAGCACCGGAGGCACTCACTCATCTATGCCAAGAAACTTGGAAGACGGCCACCTGACCAAACAATTGGAAGAAGTCCATATTTGTGCCCATTCTAATGGCCCAATGGAATGCAGAAATCCTCTAACAAAATCATGAGTATTTCATGCATGCAAGCACAATTTTGCTGAAGATAATTTAAAAGCATTGCAACAGTACATAGGCAGGGAGCTTCCAGAAATTCAAACTGGATTCACAAGAGGACATGGAATGAGGGATAGCATTGCTGGTGTCACATGGTTCTTGGCTGAAAGCAGGGAATACCAAAAAGATGCATACTTATGCTTTATTGACTATGCAAAGACTTTTGCCTGTGTGGATCATGACAGACTGTGACTAACATTGTGAAGAATGGGAATTCCAATATATTTAATTGTACTCATAAGGAATCTGTACATCAACCAAGAGGTAGTTGTCAGAACAGAACAAGGGGATACTGAATGGTTTAAAATCAGAAAAGATATACACCAGGGTTGTATTCTTTCACCATACTTTCTCATTCTGTATGCTGAGCAAATAATCTTAAAAAACTGATTATATGAAAAACGTAGCATCACAGGATTGCAGGAAGACTCATAAACAATCTGCCATATGCAGATGATACAATCTTGCTTGCTGAAAGCAAAGAGGATTTAAAATACTTACTGATGAAGATCAAAGACTACAGCCTTCAGTGTGGGTTGTACCTCAACGTAAAGAAAACAGCAACCCTCACAAATGGACCAGTAAATTCCATCATGATAAATGGAGAAAAGACTGACGTTGCCAAAGATTTCATTTTGCTTGGATCCACAATCACCACTCATGCAAGCAGCAGCCAAGAAATCAAATACATTATTAGGCAAATCTTCTGCACACGACCTCTTCAAAGTGTTTTAAGAGCAAAGATATTAGTTTGAGGACCTAGGTGCCCCTGACCTAAGTCATGGTAGTTTCAATAGCCTTATATGCATGTGAACGTTGGGCAATGGATAATGAGAATTATAGAAGAACTGATGCATTTAGTTGTGGTGTTGGAGAAGAACACTGAAGGTACCATTGACTTCCAGGAGAACCAACAGATCTCTGTTGGATGAAGTACAGCCAGAATTCTCCTTCAAAGCCAGGAATGGTGACACTTCACCACTCATACTTTGGACGTATTACCAGGAAGGACCAGTTTCTGGAACAGGACATTATGTTTGGTAGGAGGAGCAGCGAAAAAGAGGAAGACCTCCGAGATAGATTGGCACAGTGGCAGCAGCAATGGACACTGTGAGTATGGCACAAGCCTGGGCAGTGTTTCCTTCTATTGTGCAGAGGATCACCAGGAATCGGAACTGAATGGACAGCACGGAACCTAACACAGTGACAACAACCCTTCCCCAAAGAACTCTGGGCTCTCTGATTTACATCAAAAGAGCAGTTTTGGCATACTCAGGGGCCTCCCACTGTGTTCTTTATAAACATTCTTTGCGTTTGGGGAACAAAAAGAAGTCTTAAGAAACAAGATCAGGGCTATAGGATAGGTGGGGTAAGGGTTCCCAATAAAATGCACATAGAACAGCCTTTGCTAATGTGGGCAGCGGGTGTTTTGCGGTGATGAAAAAAATTCCTAGCCACAAATTCCTGACCTTTCCTCACTGAAGCAGTCTTCAAGTTTCTGAAAACTTCTTCCTAATAACCTCTGTAATTGTTCTGCGTTGAGAAAATCTGTCAAGACTACCCCTTCGGAATCTCAAAAAACAGACAGCATAATTCCTGAACTGACCTTATTGTCATATTTTAATTGTCCCAGAAGATACCTTTGGAAGCCACTATTTTGAAAGGACTTCTCCCCCCCCCGCCCAAGAAACTCTAACGAGATTAAGACAAGTGTATTATATTACTAAGGAATTTAACAGCAGCTATACATTGACTGCAAGGAATTATACATTTTAAACGTTATTTGTTTGGAATAAGCCCTTGCATGTATGAACTAGAACCCTGGGAGCAATACTTTCTGACTTATCCTCCTAGCTACTTGAGCAAGGCAAAATAACACTTACGTTTTGTTTCTGCCCATACTAGTTGCTGAGTCCCAATTGCCATTGCAATATTTGAGCAGAGACTGGAAATCAGCTTCTGAAAGAGGGACATCTTTGCATAGCTTTGAAAGACGATGTTAGATGGAAAGTAGCTGGCAAAATATAGGAATCCTCCAAGAGAAACAGCATAATTTGCTGCACATAAGGAGGAAATGATAAGGTCAATTCAAACAATCTGTAAAAATCTAAAATACAAATATCTCTTTTTAATTATAAGAGTACAGTAAAATAAACTTATGAAAACATATATTTTAATCACTACTATTTCCCTTAACACATAATGATATATGTAGCATATAAGTGCTCAAACATTATTTTTTAAATGATATAAAGGCTGAAATGAAGTATGTAAGGACTAGTTGGCTTCTGTAATATTTCTGCACTCCATCTATTTGCAGTGACTATGAACACTATACATTTAATGAAGTTTTTCATGTTTTATTTATTATTGTTGTTGCTTTGTTATTGTGTGTCCCTGAGTCAGTTCTGTCTCATAGCGACCTTAGACAGGGTTTGCAAGAGTGGTTGGTGGGCTTAAACTGCTGATCTTGTGTTACCAGTTCAGTGCTTATGCTACAGGACCATGCCAGTCATAATGTTATTACTCAGCATAAAAAATGTTACGGTTGTATTCTACAGAAACCACAGCCTTATCTACCCTGAGACAAGAAGAACTAGGTGCTGCAGACTATATCCACAGATCACTCTGATCAGATCTACAATACAAGGGCCTTGATAGAGCCAAAAGAAAATGCAGAACAGAATTCAAATTCTAAAAAGTTCCAGAATTACTGGACTGGAGGAGATTAGAGGACTCCCTGAAACTACTGCCCTAAGATACTACTTTAAATCTTGAACCCTGAAGTTGTCCTTTAGCTAAGTAGCAGATTGGCTCATAAAATAAAGGCTATCACCTGTGAGTACGGTACTTCTTTCAAAATTAACTATATGAGACCAAAACTAATCAACAACAAAACTCCACTGTCATCAAGTCGATTCTGACTCATAGTGACCATGCACAGGGTCTCTGAGACTGTAAATCTTTACAGAAGAAAACAGCCTTCGTTTTCACTTGTGGAATGGCTGGGGGTTCGAAAAGCTGGCTTTCACATTAGCAGTCCACTTCTTATCCTATAGTGCCACCAGGCCTCCTTATGAGACTAAGTAGTTAACAATCACTCTACAGTCAAGATGAGAAGTTAGGGAGGCAGGGAAACTAAATTACTGGAAACAGAACAACCAGAATGGAAATTATAAGAATGCTGACACACTGTGAAAAACATAACCTGTGTCACTGAAGAATGTACGTAGACTTTTTTTTTTTTTTTAAAGTGGAAACCTACTTTGCTGTGTAAATTTTCACTGGAAACACAGTAAAATATTATTTTTAAAGGAGACCTTGTAGATTTAAGATACTGCCATTGGGACAATCTGAACATACCTAGTTGTGTTTCCAGACACTTTGAAGTTCAATCTATGTTATGATAATGTGGGAGGGAGGGGTGGGGGGAAGGATACCTGAATAAAGGATAAAGTTGAAGTCAAAGAAAATGATGTGGTTTTGAGTATTAAGAGTTCCAAAAATATGATTCTGATAAAATGCTGAAAACAAAATTCTTATCAAGAGATTCATTAATCTTATCAGGAGTTAAAATTCAGCATTCCAGTTAGAGTCCTGATGTGGATTATGGGGTAAACACTGGGCGGCTAACCACAAGGTCGACAATCCAAACCCCTGGGAAACCCTATGCAGGGTTGCTATGAGTCCGAATGGACTAGAGGGCATTTAGCAGCAACAACAAATTAGGAAGCACAATAGGTATGATCCCACTATTACGAGTCACTGTTGCTTTTCTGCTTTATCTCAACTCATACACCTCATCAGCCAACCAGAAAACGTATGTTTCATGCACTAACCATGTGCCTTGTTTTTCACAATTAAAACTTGAAAAGAGAATAAGAGTATAAAAGTTGGTGACTACAAATATAGACAGTTCTTTTAGGACATTTTGTGACACAGGAGTACAAGGACACTGGGTGAGAGAACTGTGGTTAATAAAACATTAGTTAAATTGGGAGAAATTGTAGCATATTTGAGTAGTACAATACATGATCCAGTAGAGAGAGAAAGGTTTTGTAGAAAACAGAGAACTGGAGTGTATATTTGAATAGGTGACAAAAAATGGAATCTAACGTGTAAATAGAGAGTCTGCCTTTAGATAAGAGAATGAAAAGTAGGAGAGTATGAATATAAGCCCCAATAGGTGGAGCAATGTTGTTGTTCTCAAGTGCCGTCAACTCGGTTCTGTCTCATAGCAAACCTGTATAGGGTTTCCAAGGAGTGGCTGGTGAGTTTGAACCGCTGACCTTGAAGTCCAGTGCTTATCCTATAGTGCCACAGGCAGATGTTAAAGGACTTCTGATATTGACATATTCCTTATAACAGTAGGGAACAAGCTGAGAGTGAAGACACAGGACAATGTTTGAAGGCTGAGGTGTGAGATAATCATCTGGGTGAGTAAAAGAGTGTACGAAGCAGAGATTTACAGTGGGCATAATGGTGGGGGTTTTGTTTTGATTTTTAAAAGCCTAAATCATAAAAGACACAGACTCAGTGACGAATTAAACATAGCATCAAAATACATAAGGCAAAAATTCTCAGAATGTTGAGGAGAGCTATACACAAATCTATAATCCTAGCAGAAGATTTAAATATATCTCTATTAGTAACTGATAGAGCAAGTAGAAAAAAAATCAGAAAGGATGCAAACTGTGAGCAACATGATTAACAAGCATGGCCTAACGCACATATATACAACTACACTATGCACTTCGATCAAATAAATTTGTTCCAAGCATACAAGGAGACAAACTAAAATGCATTTGTTTCAAGCATAAACTAGGGACAAAATAAGTCCCTGCAAATTTCAAAGGAATTAAATTAAGTTGGAAACCACAAAATATCTAGAAAAACTTTATATATTGTAAAGCTAAAACACACATTTTAAAATTATTCTAAAGCTAAAGGAGAAATCATAAGAAAAAAAAAATCTAAAGTATTTCCATGAATTAAAACAACAAAAATTTGCTTATTGGTATTTGTGGTATGTTGTCAAAGCATTTAGAGCTATATAGCTCCTATCAAAGAAACCCTGAATAATAAATAGGCCAAGCGTTTGTTCTCAAAAGTTAGAAGAAAAACCAAATAAATACAAAGAAACTTTGTGGAAGAAATTAATAAAAATAAAAGTAGAAATCAGTGAATTATTAATAAAAACACACACACATAATCATAGAGGTAAGAAAAACCAAAGTGTTGATTCTCTCAAAAGATTAATAAAATGAATACACCAATTAAGAATTTGGTCAGAAAAAGAAAAATAAAGAGAAGACACAATAGCCAATGGAAGGATTAAAAACAGATACTCTAGATATTAACCACCCCCACACAAACTATTCATATTTTACCAATACATTTGAAAACTTACTAAGATAAAATTTAAACTATAATATATCAAAACTGAAGGAAGAACTGGAAAACCTGATTACCCTATAACCTTTAGAGAAATTGAATCAATTAAAATTCATACCAACAGCTTTATCAGCAAGTTCTTGCAGATATCAAAAAAGCAATCATTACATTTTGGAGCTAAAGTTTCCATAGAACAAAAAAAATGGGCATAACTTCCCAGCAATATTGTGAAACTCGCATAACTTCATATAAAAACCAAAGAAAGAAGTAGGGTCAAGATGATGAACAAGGCTGAAAGGCTGTGTGGACCCTCTACAGCAGACTGCGGAAAATCCAACGAGACAGATGCAAAAGACAGTTCTAAAACTCAAGTGGACTGAGTGCTTCCTGGGAGAGAGATCTGAGCAGACGCAGCAAAAGATGAGGTGACTGCTGAGCTGTGACCGCCAAGCAGACCTGCCTCAGCCATCCTGCACATTTGTGAGCGACTTCAGAGACAAGAAAATGTAACTCACGTTGCAGAAACCTACTTGTGACTTGCAGAGACAAAGATGCGATTTTTTTTTTCTTGTTCCCCACACTCCCCTGGTGACCAGAGGTGAGGAAGGCCTCCACCAGTATACACTCCCAGGGAAGCTTCCAATTTCCAGGCGGCGAGAGCCGCAGGGAGGTGAACGCCAAGGTTGTGAGCCCCACTAGAGTGAGCAGGAACTATCTGCAATAACCTTGCTCAGGTGGGCCCTGCTCCAAATCTGCACAGTCAGCCCTGGCCGGCCCTGGACTAGGTCTCACTAGAAGCAGTTGAATGAACATGTGGGGTAGAGAAAAAAAAGAAAAAAGAAAGACTGGTTATTTGTGCAGTCCTGACAGGTGAAATGGAACCATCTTGAACTTTCATGGGTGGCTGTGAAGACAAGAGGCCAGTAGATGGCACACAGGCATACTGCTTTTTGGTGGAGAGAAAGATGCTGCCGGTTTTTGCCGCCTTCTTTCATTACTATTTTATTTTTTTAATTGGTATTTGCTAGGTTTTTGGGTTTTTTTCTTCTTCTCTCGTGTGTTTTATCTTCTCGCTTCACCTGAAAGGAGACAGCAGCTGCAGCCATACAGCCCAGCCACAGCTGTACCCATTACAACCCCATCCATTGGCTTGAGTCATTACCAGCTGCTGTCCATGAATCAACAACAACAACTAACACCAGCTAAATCCACCCTGAACTGCCTGAACAGCAAACAAAAAACAGTGCATAAACTCATCTCCTGATCACACTCACCAGGAGGCAACTGGTGAGTGCCTAAGACTACACCAGCATGCGTTCATCAACTTAATACAAATACAACAACACTACAATCCCTTGAAAAGAGCAGACATTTTCTGTTCACATAACGAAACAAGACAAAGTAGCTCAAACAAATGACCAAGAGGCAAAGATAGAAAATGTTCTTGAAGAAAAAAAAGGCATTGGAACTATCTGAAATAGAATTCAGGAAAACGATATTTAGGTGTTTCTGAATAACTGACCAAAAGGTCAAGGAAAACAAGGACTAATTCAGAAAAGCACTACAGGAACAATGAAACAAAATAGAAAAAGGATAGGAGAAAATACAAAGCCTGCAAACCATAATCCAGAAGATTAATACTAAGATATCAGAAATGAACAAT